AGCACGAAAACCAAGATAGCGCCAGGCTACCCAAGCCTAGACAGGAGCAGTCGAGATGTGGAGGTCTCGTTCGAGCCAGGGATCTTCCGGTCAATAAGCTCGCGCTTTGACCACCGAGTCATTCTCAAAATCAGAAAGTAGGGTTCATCAGGTATTAGAGCCGAATGAGAACCTAGGCTGATGAATGGGGTGCGAACATGTTCTTCGTCGATATACAGATCCTCTAAAAAGGCAGCGAGCGATGGGAATGGAGGAGATGAACGCATGCATGGTTGGGACCATACCCTTTACCAAGCAACGGAACCTTGGTTGTCTCATCCAACAATTCACCGACTACCCTCGGGCCCTTCCGGAATCCCAAAGAAAGGTGAACTGTGAATTTTGGGGCAACTTGAACCTTGAGTATGTCCAACTCAATAGTTATCTCCATCCTGATCCTGAGTGGCATCTTTCTGTAGAACATTTCGTTATCCTTGTTCTACACTCTGACCCGGAAGACCAATAAACTGTCGGTCAGTCCTTTAACAACAGATGAGTCTGTATTAGATACTGCAAGTGCTGAACGGATACCACAGTATAGTTCGGTCGGTTAAGGAAGCGAGATGGGGGGACGAGATGGCTCAAGTGGTTAGAACGCGAATTTACTGACCGGAAGGTCCATGGTTCAAACCCGACCTTTCCCTCTCGACTTCCCCGGTCTAGGCTTGAGCAACCTGGCAGTATCTCAGCCCTCGTGCAACCTTCGGGTGGCATTGCAGCTAAGCGCCGAAAGGGTCTTACAGCTGAATGATTATTATTTTTATTATTATTTATTCAAGGAAGCACAGAAACCGTGACACCAAGGTAAGGTTCATTCTCTAGTGACAGGGGCTTTCCCAGCTAGATTCGATCCAAACCAGTGGGATCAACCTTGGGATATGATGATAAGTAGTATGTGGTTTGGGCGGTCAAAACAATGAAGCCTATGAACAATTGATTTCACCGGTTAACTTGAGATTGTTCACGTAGGTAAGGTAGGCCGAATATTTAGTCGGATTCACACAGGGGTTTCCATTTAGCTTCCACTTTTGTTCACTCAGTAGCGTAATATCGTTGGTGTTCAACACCGCGAGCACAACCTAAGGCAAGTTTTCTTGGGAGTGGACGGAATTCGACGCCAATGCCGATTAAATTTAAGCACCGCTACGGCCAAGAAGCCTATCTCGCAAGCGATTAGCCGTTTGCTGGCCCAACATCAAGCTCAGCTCTGATTGGCTCAATAGCCAATCATGGACCGGGATCCCCTATAGCTGGTAGCTACTGACATGTCCAAAAGACTTTTTAATTTCCGGAATATTGTCGCAACATTCACCTCATACATGGCGTGTTGTGCGAACCGGGAAGCTAGAATCTCTAGGTTAGGTGTTGTAAAAATATTTTCGGACCCCGGCCTGCCCGTAGCGTTTTACTTCATTATTGCACACCGAATAAGTAATTATTTGAAGAGTCCCTCAATAGCTGTGCTCACTCCCATCTGACTCTTCCTAATTTGACTAGGCTTTATCTACATCTGAGCTTGCCAGTGCCACTCTCACGACGGCTGTCTACTTCCATATACTTGACGGATTCACGGAATGATACACAGGATCGAGGCTATTGCCCAAGGTTCCCAGGACGCTTTTTTCTTGTCAGTTAGTGGCTGTCATTCATATGAAAGGCACAAGTGAAAAAAGAATATAGCACTGCCTTTTATGTTCTCAGCGCGGGGCAGTATGCTCACAAGTGCCAGGATTCGCATAAACATATGTCCAGTGGTGCTTTGAACTGTGTTCTAGGAGGAGCATGGTCAACCTTCGGAGGAAGGTCATTCCACGCAGCTACTACACGAAATGAGAAAAAAATTCTGCCTGATGAATATGAGCGCTCTGAGCTTGAAAATTTTATAACTATGTCCCCGCCTGTGTTCGCTGGGTCTGCGGTAAAAAATCTGTTGCCAAGCTTTGTTCAAACAGGGTATAAGTAAGAATAAGGTCCCTTCGGAGGCGACGATACTCCAGGGGAAAGAGAGCAAGCATCGCGAGACGCGTTTCGTAGTCCACGGATTTGAGGCCGGTTACCATTCTCGTGGTGGCTCGCTTGACGCGCTTCATGAGGGTGATGTCTTTTGTGCGTCCTGAGTGGACAACTTGGGTAGCGTAGTTCAGGACCGGTAGGGCGTGGACCGTGTAGAGTATTTGGAAGTCCATGCGAGTAATACGGGAGAAGGTGCGTCAGATCATCCGTAGAATGGTGAATGCATTTTGGGCCGATTTCTCATGGTGCAGTGAGAAGGACAAGTTTGGGGAGACCCCGATGCCCAAATCCTTTTTGGCATCTTTCCTCATGACGTGTTCTGGTCCTTTCTCACCATGCATAACAAACGCATTCGCTGAGTCTCCTCCAAATGATATATGGACGCACTTTTTGTCACTCAGATGAAGGTGCCAGCCCAACGACCACTGCTTGGCAGCGTCTACATCCATTTGGAGGGC